TTAATGACACCTTATAGTATAAGGCTTATACGAACCTAATATATTATACAACATTCACTTTCATGTACCTATAGTTAGTTTCTTTTTTAAAAAAACCTATCCACTGTACATCGAATGGACATAACCTACATTTACATAGAATGCTTTGATATTTAAACATGTAATTATGATTTTGAGCTTAATAAATTGTGTTAGTTGTAATTACACAATGTTAGTTGTCTTTTATCTTTTTTTTTATGCATAATAATTTGTAAATAAAAATATATCATTCCCAATAATAAGATGGCATTCTCTTGTAAGTGTGTGGTTATGAACTACGACCTTACTTATAGTAGACAACCATACTTCAAATTATAGTGTTTTCAATTCTACATCATAGGATTGCAATTAAGCGATCATAAAACTAATGACAAATACCTGTATGTGAATTTCTCGTAAAAAATGAATCATACAAATTGCCTAAACACTTTGAAATTTTCATTTTTACAATCTTGCGCCAAACGAAAATCATCCAAATATTATAAATGTCATACAGACATAAAATCTTTGCCATCTCTCCTCCCGCTAAAAAAAAAAAAAAATTAAAAGTAAGTTACTTACTTAGTATWAGAAAATATTACCTTTTTAAATTCCTACCTAAAAGTTTTTTATAAATCATATGTCAAAATGTAAAAATAMTAATAATTTTTATTTWGCAATAATTTTAAAGTAATTTTTAGCAAAAAAAACAATAATTAGTAATTATTAGTAGATACCTTTACTATAATTACCTATATATTTATGCTTGATTATAATTTAATATAACATTTTTACAGATTAGTCTGTATAATGTTTCGAAATTAAATAAATTATTATACAATAATGATTTGTGATAAGCATTTTTCAATAGTTATCTATTAGTGACTAATATTATATATTGGAATGTCGSGTTCAGCTCTTAACAATATAYAATTGAAAATATAAAGTTAAGGATGCCTTTACGGCTGGCCGTTAGGTAGCAGCATTTACAGCGCTAATATCCTGTTTTAAATAAAATATATATAATAATGTGATTAATAAAATAAAAATAATTTTAATGGTATAATGATATTTTGTATTTAACAATGAATATATTTAAATTGCCAGCTCTGAATATAATAATTATTAATTATTGACAGAGATAAAATGGAAAAAATGCTTGAAAAGCTTACAAATGTATATTATGAATTAATGCTTGATTAGCATATGAATATAATGGCAATATATGAATGAATRTGATTGATTATCACATATGAATATAATATAAAAATACAAGTATGATGCAATGTTGCTTGATTAGCAATATACCTACATATAATAATAATGTATAGAAAATATAATTAGCCCTGCTGGCTCAACAATGTATAATAATATGTAGGTATAAAAGATAATATAAATGGCCTATGTCAGCTCAATAACAACAAGAAAGTATAATAATATCAATTTGAGCCAGCTGGTTTAACTCAAGAATATAAATATAAATTTGCCTTAAATGGCTCAACGCTCAACCCAATAAGTTTTAAAATATAAGAAATTGGCCTAAGCTGGCTATATAAAAAATATAATAACGATGATAATAATAATAATAATAATAATAATGATAACCTGGTAACTGGTGTCCGTTGGCGGCTTCAAACCGGAACGCTACCGTCTCGGGAAGCCCACACTTGTACAATAAAAAATAATACAATATAAAATAAAATGTGTGACAATCTCGAGAATGTAYGACCAACGAGCCACCAGTTCAAMGACTAACACAACCACAAATGCACCACAAATAATAATAATGCTACAATCCACAACCACGTGGTTCTGTAAGTACGCCTTGAACGCCCTGCTGAATTGGGGAATAATAATTAGAACCTTATATTATAATAATAGTGATACTTACGGAACCTTTGAATGTAAAAATGACGAACAACAAAGGCAATGATGAAATAGATGTATACAAAAAAGGAAKTTTGATGTAATGTGTTAACACGAATGAAATATATGCAACACCACTGGCTGGGAATTATGACCATGCAGCTTGAGAGGCKAAAAAATACAAAAAAAGAAGGAAAATAAATTTGAGRTTTTGGCCAAGCTTTGACATGAAAAAGTATAACGACCAATGAACGAGACGTAGRTATACTAATGCAGTACCACCTTTGACACAAATAAAAGCTAAAGAAACCGACTTTCGGTGGCACTGGGACTATTACATAATATATAAAAGACAAACATTGAATAAAAATAAATTATTGAGAGCACATACGAAAGAATACAAAATATAAAGCCGTTACAGCAGRCTACGCACKCCGCTCACTAACAGCTTGATAAGAACATATCGCTGGTATCATAGCCRACAGGGAGACAACTACGTGCGCAGTCATGGCACAACAATAATAATAAGTAATAACACTCGCGCTGCTCAATGGCGCGAACAGGGTACATAATTTTAAAATGACCAAAATGTGATTGCAATTCTGGGCCAAACGGAAAAGGTCAAGTTTAAGCGAAACGGCCAACGAGTATGTACTTCATTACAGGTTGTCATGGTGTATGATAGCTTTGTATCAAAATTTCAAACTTAGGTATCTAAGGTATTTAAATTTAAAATAAGCAAAATAGAAAATCATATAGATAGGTAAGGTTAGGTTAGCTTTTAAAATATTTGCAAAAATAAGGTACTTGATTACAAAACAACTGTGCGTTCCCATCATATCGTTTATGTGKKGGATCATAACGAACAAAATTCATAACACTACAACGGAATTTGGGTTTCCAGTCCATTTCTAGTTATTCTTCGAACTCGCATACAACAATTTACTTTTAAAACTAATTAAACCCCCAYCGGCGACCGTGGACTTTGTGTCGACGAAAATGATACATTGCCCAAAAGTCCATATGGTCACACCACTCATTACCTATGGTCTAGTAACAATTGGTTTAATTTTGAATTGTGTGATCATATATTATTATATATACCTAACCTAACCTAATCTAACGCATCACAATGGCCGTAAATTACAAAATTGTTTGAGAATAAAAACATCTCTTCACTACTGTTCGTCTCTAGAAACTGACGATGACGGTCGTTATACTCGTACAATATTGTTATAGACATTATAGTTATATAATACAACATAATTAATTATTAACAAGAAGAAATGAAGAAAAAAAATGAATATAAAAAAAAAAAAACGGCGATTACCCACAAGAAAAATGTCATTAGGAAGTTGTGGATCGCCAAACTTTGAACATTTTCCAAAATTGATCGTACCGTGAAAAGTTTGAGAACCTCTGTATTAAGGGGCTTAATGAAGGCAATTTTAAAGACATTTTAAGAAAGAAAAAAATTTGGAGTAGGTATTATATTTTACTGTGAAGGTACTTTTCATTTCTTTTCCGGTTGTTGTGTAATTCCAAAATTATATCTTAGGACATTTGTAAAACATATTATTTTGATACTATTACTGTACTGTACTGTAATGCGATCAACTTGTGGTTTAAGAACTAAACACTTATTACAAAAAAATCGGAAGAGGATTATATTGTTATACAAATTTTAATGATAATAAATTTGTATAAAAATATGACATACGTATTTAATAATATCATAATTATTTAGTACCTATTTATTTTACAATTTCAGTTATATTAAATATCATTTTTATTTTCCTAACATTATGAAAACATCATAGCAAACTTTATGATTATTACTAAAAATGGTTTATTGAAGAAGGTTATACTATTTTTATGTTTATCTGTTACAAGATAGTAAAATTTAGTTAAAAATGTATAATAATATGCTAAATCATAACTTTAAAATKTAACATTAATTATTGTTATTTAGGCCATTGGATTTACAATTATTTAACTTTCATCTAAAATTGTATTTTAATTTTTAATTTTTATTGATATTTATTTACTACACGTAAATGATAACATTGATTATACAATTAAAACAATTATGAAGTATATTAAGTAGGCAGATTAGGGCTGACGGTGAATTGGTTGTGAACAATATTGATCATCTGGATCACTCGTTAAAAATATTTTGTAATATTTATAGGTCTTGTATCATAAAATATTTCACATAATATATATATTATACACATAATGTTGATGATACTTCATTCAGTTTATAGGTAGTTAGGTTGTATTAGGTTATTAAATTATATTACAGTGCATACAAAAATTACGCAGTATAATATCCATTATGATATCATTAGTACCCCATAAAATGTATGAGCATTAGGCATTTAAGTAATGTTAGGTTTAACCATATTTCATTCGCAAATTATATACAAACTTTTGTTATGTAGTTATTTTTTAATATACAATTATATTAATGTTATGATAAATTGGGTAGGTGCATTAAAAATATATATATATATATAAATAAAATGAAATTATTAAAGTCGAATTTGGAAATCATGATGGACTACTTAAAGAAAAATAACTACTTTATTTTCATTGGTATTCATATCATAGTCAGCAGACCTTTTGTAATTCGTTCTGCGTGATCGTTCGTGGTACTAGTATTTAACACCAATAGTATTTCCTGTGAAATATTATTAGTGTCTATAGCTATATATGGTACTTATTTTGTACGTTTTGATTGGACGGGATGCGTTCAAAATAGATCTGATATCATTATGTATCTTTTAACAGAATTTTTATTCATGAAGATATATTTTTTTTAATTTATAACGATGCTAAAATAATACAGGTCTTCTAATATTCTTCAATTTATTCGATCAAGATTCATTTCAGTCTACTTATCTTAAAAATAATTTGTAAAATGTATTTCAACATTCTCCCGTTATTTTAAAAATGTAATTCCAAATCCAATAGTTTGTTACAAGTATTTTTTACATTCTCCTTAAGTACAAGATTATGTTCTATGTTCTAAGTTCATTTGAACTTGTAAAATAAATCCTGAGTCTTTGATATGCTTCAATGGAATCTTACATTACTCAGAGTTGACACGACTCGCAAGATTAGGTTTGAAAAATTAGTTAGGTGCTTGCTTTCTAAGTTCTTATTGATATAAAACTTAAAATACAATTTTATTTTTATATATAATTCAGTCAAACAATGTGGATGTGATATCAGCTAGAAATTTCAAATTTCTAAACATTTAGTCGGGCACAATACATTTATAAAAGTTCTTATGTATAAATAATGGCCCCAATAGCATACCAACGATGTGTGAATCCTCGACTCCGCTCCAATTATGTTATAGTGATTACTGATTAACCCCCTCCACCACCATAAAATCCTTATATTTTATAGTTGTGTAGTTTCTAAGAAAATAAAATTCCACACATGTAAAATAACGTATACACTTTTGATACATATAAATATTTTTGTTARGTAGTAGCTAAATGGACATTTATTTTTCAAACTATGTAAATGATACGTGGATATAAAAAAGGTATATATAACCGCTGGTCTAATATTAATACTAAGGCGCTATATCGATAATAATAGGATTATCAATCATTGTTGTTAATATCATTGTCTAGTCTTTTCAATTAAATGATTATCAAAATAAGTTACGTGAATAGCTTGAAATGTGAATTTTACAAAATCACTTCACCAATGAGAATATTTGCCGTCGGCAACTCTTTATTTATTTTAAAATTTAAAATCATACATATAAATATTGTCGCAATTAAATATATTAGGCATTAGCTTTGAAATGTTTTGTAAATTCAAGCAAATAATTATAATTGATATTACTATAAACTAAAATATTTTTATTTATATTATTTTAAATTTAAACTCTTCAAAAAAATTATGGTTTTTGACACTTAATTTTTTCCACATTGTTAAATCGTTACATTAAGCACGTCTTGACTTTCATCTAACTGTTGATTATTGATTAGTATATAAATATAATTTAGTAATACCATAAAATATCCTGTCAGATATATTATTTCAAACATTTTGCTGCAAAATTTTTGCAACACAACATATTATTACCTATAACGTGTTAACTAGATTTATATACTTTGTAATATGTATCCAACTGATAGACGAACGTAAAACTTACGAGTTGTCTCTGATACCTAAATTATAGTTAGTTGAATGTTGAACTTGACAACCTGGTGCCGAAACGCTAATATATAATTTCTTTCAGACCACATACCAGTCGACAAATGATTGATATTTTATGTGATTTTATACCTTATCTCCAATTAGTTTTCATATAATTACACAAAGTGACGTCTTTTCGACGGATAATCTCATTTGGGAACTTGTTTTCCAATTAGGTGTAGTAGTATAAATGGCAAATGATTTTCGAAGATAATTTGATTTTTTAAAATTTTTATCTGGTTGTAACGGATTTACGTTACATTTTAAACGAAAACTTCTACGACAATTTGCTAAGAAAAGTTAACCAGTTATAAATATAATTTAAATCTAAATCCTTGCTCACTTTAGGTTAGGTAATAGGTTAAGTTATCGATAACGTATACGTAAATACGTTGTTACTTGTTAGGCAATTGAAACAAAACTAAAAACCAATGTGATATTTTGATAATAATCAAAATATAACATAACATTTGACTAGAATATAACCTAACAGGACTATAAGATAAAACTTCTGGTAGGGAGAGGGACACTAAACTGATAAAGCAATGGTTCAAACGGTTTCTGGTCTAAAACTTTTAAGTTAGTCTAGCGTTGACGTTGGAAACACTTGGTTTGTACAGGTGGGTAGCAAACCCTGCACTCCCCGAGTGTCAAACTCTCAATAGTAGCAATGTAGAAAGTCGTTCAGCAGTCTTGGGTAGTACCTATTCGGAATACTATTTAGGTATTCAGAATACTTTTTAAATTACTTCTCCTAAAAGTATTTTATGCAGTATTCATAATACCTTCGAAAGTATTCCAAATACTATATTCAGAATACTTTAATAGTATAACAATATATTATTTTTAGGATTTTAGTATTTTAGCATCTATATTTGCAAAATGTCAAGCTATTTGGAACAAACCTAACTGTTCAAGTCAAATGGCCGACATAGTTAAAACCAATTCGAATGTAGGTATACTTAAAAACTCTTAATGATACTCATTAGAATCCCTGGTTTGATGTAATATAATATTATAAATCATTAATAGTTATAGTTAGGTATATTATAATTTTAATTTATAAACAATATATTATATAGGTATATAAACATTGGCTATAATTTCCCAAAAGCAATTATTATTTTATTAATATCTATAAC